TATCCCTCAATATACATATAATGCAAGATTTTAAGTTTATTAAGATATATATCATTTGAAACAATTTATTCATAATGAGAATGTAATTTAAACTACTTCCATAGGTCCACTTTCTTTTCATATATAAATGTTAGCTTTGTGTACGAAACTATTAAAATCACCAAACAGAAACACTTAATTATTTTTCATAGTTGAGTAAAACTCATTACATAAACTTAGAAAAGAAAGTCAAATAAACTAAGACTATAAGAAAAGCAATGCGACATATAACAGTACTGTAAATAAGCAAAAAGTTAGAAAACTGTTTTTGGGAGTCAGTGGAAATTATGTAACATATATAAGTAGATAAGAACATTTTTTGAAAACTATACGCTAATAATAATGGTAGCTTTAGGCTAGGATAACGACTTGCTTAAATCTGTTTAGTGTTCATACTTAAAAACACATTTATTACGCATTTTTATAATTTATTTTTAATCCAAAGCTGTTGTAAATACTGATTTAAACGTAAAGTGCTGTTTGACGGATATGGTTATTTGTAAAGGCTAAATTAAGCAATCGATTAGTTTTGTTCCGCTTCGTACAATAATTATGGCATACAGTGAATAATTACTCAATGTTTAGAAACTATTCTATTTGATACGTTCGTAAACAACAATATTATAACAATATTTACAATATCATAAGAGGATCTTCATGGTACGTTAATTCTAAAACATTCCTATATGTCATCAGCGAATTTAATGTTCGAAACAGTTAAATTTACAAATGCCAAAAGGTGTTCTAGATTCAAACAATGTATTGATGTCGCTAACTTTAGATATCACGTGTCATGTTTTGTTTTTGAACGCACCAGAAGTTTGTTTTATTTTGTGATTAATTTTTAATATCAGTTCCACTTCGCTCGAGAAACAAAACTAGCTGGTGGGAGGAAACCTTTCATGTCAACCATATAATACTCTTGTCATGTTTATAACAGCAATATATTTTCAATTCATTGTCTTAATTTTACTCGAATAAATTTTGTGTTTGTTTTATGTATGTATACAACAATGATCAGATGTCCATTTAAAATAGAAAGAAAACGAAGGAAAAATAGAACGCTTCCTTAAAAATATACAAAATGGCACACTAGTCCAAAAATGACACACATTGATATGCTATATTTATAGTAATCATATGTTATTCAACTTCTCATTGAAGAATAGGCGACTTTTTTAATACAGTATACGTAAATATCAAGTTTACAAACACGACCACAAGAGAGTTTTCAAAATAAAGATTATGTTGAATTAAACATTATAGGCTTAGTTTGAAATAAAAGTAAAATATTAGGACCAAAGTTGTGATAAAATGTTTAAACGAAAAGAGGTAGGACTTTATCTTCGTCGACAAGAGATATTTGGAGATATAACTATTTTTTATTTGTATTTTCAATAATGCTTGTTTAAATATTACCAAATGATATGGCCATTTTACAAACATAACAGCCTCATTGAAATCACTATTTTGCATTTGTCTACAAAATTTGATCACGATATCTTTATAACAAAGATTAAAAATCAAAATATAATTGGAATGATTTCTGAAAATAAATTTCATGACATTCATAATTAACTTTCATAACGTTACTTAGTTACCATTCTATATATGTTGAGCTATTCACTAAACGATATAAAGCTGATAAGAAATTCCTAAAACAATGACAAATTGTTATAGAAATGTAATCCCAGTCATTTAATTGCTTTAGAAACTGTTAAACAATAAAATACTCGTGTAAAAGATGTAACTAAGAGAGGACATAAATTAAAACATTTAAACATTTAAAAAGAATATTTTATACCTTGTTTGGTTTGAATAATGACACAGATTAACTCATTTTATTTCCAGAGATTTAATTAAGTACACACATTTCTCATACCGGATCAGGATAGATAAGTTGGACCTCGATTGCCATTTTTCTGCAGATATCAACATGCATTTTCAATATCCACCAAAAGGCCGTAAAGAATATTAATCAAAACAACCCACAATTCATTCCTCCGCGCGATTCTATTGGCTTAGCAAGGATTTGACTGCAGAATCATTATTACATCTGATTCTCTTTTTAATTTCCTCCAATTGTTTCTTTTCGTGACAGACATATTTGTTTTATTAAGGGACCATAAACTGTTTTGAAAAGAATGAAACTTTGAGTGTTTAGTGGCCTCTCAGTATAAACGCATCCGGATATGACTAAAATAATTATGCACGCAACACCTTTTATAAATTGTGTGACATTCATAGTTCACGCTTTTAAATTTTGTAATTAATTTGATTTAAGTTGATTAATGTTTAATTAAGTTATATATCCAATTCAACATGTTGCTGATTTGTACTTGTGATACACTTGGTCCTTTCACATATGTTATTTTGCTGTTGGTGGCAGCAAAATATATCTACTTCAATGTGTTCAAATATATTGAACATACGTTTACATAGTACTTTATGACAACTGTTTGTGATGTACAAACTGACTTACCTCTTACTCAATATGTTATTTCTTTCAGGGTAGGTTCAGCACTTTCGCATTGTTTAGTTTTGATCATACGCATGCTTACTGATGTGTTTAGATTTCTTATTGTAAAGTCTTTAAATTTTGATAGTGAATTATTCTAAAGGTTAAACAAGGGGCACAGTCGGTAGCATGTACTTTAAATTTGTATTTCAAGAATACAATGTACTTTCAATATCAAATGAGTCCATAAAATTTCCAATTTGTCTTCATGTTGAGCATCATTCAATTGTACAAATTCTTTTCTGTTGTGATCGAAAATGAATAATTTATCTCTGCCATTTACCATGTTTATCGTAAATTTGTTTTCCATTTTCTAATGTGTACTATCACTGTACTTATTTGATACAATAATTCAACCACATATTGTAATGTTATTGAATGAATGTGATATGTTAACGGCAGCGTTTACAATTTAACTATTTATTTCTTCATTTATTTGGAAAAGTCAGACAGAAAAATGTATCAAATGAGTCCTACAATACAAGACAATAACGTTTTAATATTTTACTGATTTTAAAACATAACTAATATTTAAGCGCTCACTCGTCTTAAGACTGAAATTGGTCTATTTCAATATAAAAAAGTCATGGATCAATTTTGATATTATGTTCTAATATTATATTATAAGATATAATAATGATTTTGATAACGTGATTTTTTTTGCAAATAGTTCCTTTACGTGTGTAAAGCTATCTATCTGTTACAGAAATTATTATTTTCATTTGGAAAAAAAGAATACTTGAAAAATATGTTCATGTAAGAAATATGTTGAAATATTTATTACGTATGTCGCATGCTCCAAAAACGGTTTGAACACTACTTACAATAACTTCCAAAACATTGTATTCAATTAAAAAAATAATATTCAAATGTTCAATAAGAGGCATTTTATGTATCTGACACATGATTCCAGAAACAACATTATATTATATATTAGTGGTTATGAATGACGTGAAAATATTTCATTAGATATAACAATGAAAGGTTTTATTTACATGTGTAATGAACCTTTATTACTCTTTGTAATAAATTCTTATTTGTAATTCATCCATGAGCAGGTTCAGTTCAACAGAGCGTTTAGTATTTTCAAATTTGCAGTTTCTTTAGTGATGTAGTTTTTTTTCTATGTTATCGTTTCACAAGTTTTAAAGTGATTTGGTTAAATATCATATTAAGAAATTGATCGTCGAATCGAAACATATTCTGAAATATTTTACAAGTGCACGTTTAAACCTCGTTATTTAGTATCACACTTTAACATAGTTTGTATCAAAGAATACGTTGTGCATGAATTCAATATTTTATACGCGTGTTTATTGTGTCTTTTGACTTTGTTTTTGATTCAAAAGGAATAAAGAAAATAATTTTACATCAGTTATTATTATACAAGCTTATACGAGGAACCAGTGCATTTTCAAATTTTTTTCATCATCGGTTTAAAGCCATTATGTTAATAAATGATGAACTCGATGTCCAATTTTGCCGTTTTTGACATTTTAAGGAAGCTATCTTTTTCACAATTTCATTTTACATTACTACAGTCTTATATTATTTTACAAATATTTTTAATTCATTGGCCACCTTGAAAATCATAATTTTGTAATTGCAGTGTTTTGAATATGCTATGTCATCAATGTCAACATTCTAATAGGTTTGTATGAGAAATGCATTATTTTACACTTAGATTTATCCAAGTAAAATCAACACTGCCGTATACCCGTTTGAGTGATTAATTTAAAAAAAAAGAAAAGAAAAATCGATCAAATGTTGTACAATATCTAGGAATGAGGATAAAACAAACAAAATATTAACTTGTGGTATAGGTTATCTGTAATGCAAAACACATAGTAAAACTGCGGTAGATAAACACAAACTGTGTTTCGTCTCGCACTAAATGTGGTATGCTCCTGATTTATTTATCAGTTGTTTAGATTTAGATTTAGAACTGAGGTTAAATGGTCAAATAATTTCTCCAATCCTTATATTGCCATTATACATTGTATGATCTTAAACCATGTCATACTGCAAAACTGCATTCTTTTATGTTTTTCTTTATTTTGACCTCTTGCATGAGTAAAATATAAGATAATATGAGTTTGTGTAATATTCTTGTAAGGGGCTGTATTCTTTTAATGGTGATCTTCCCTGGATATTACATGTATTATCCATCGTTTCCTATTATACTTATGTATAAAAATCATTTAATTCCAAAATGCTAGGAACTTAACGTTTCAAACACAAATGCACATGTGTATGGGATATACTGCCTTATTGCAAAAATATCGGTTCTACATCAGTAACAACAGAACTTCCTTTTGATCAAATAATTATTAATGTTCGGTTGAATCATTACGCTAATTTGGTATGGTTACTGTCGGTTGATCACAGTGTTTTACATTACTTACAATTATAATCGTATTATTGATCACACAAGGAACTCAAATTTCAATTTAATTACTCTTTTATTTATTTCATTGAATAGATCTTTGAAAGTCTTTAAAATAGCAAAACAAAATTGTTTTCATAAAATTAGTCTTAAACTATTCCAAAAAGTAGAATGAATATTCATAATTTAAAAGCAGAAACAGTTTTATTATCTAAAATATATCACTTTAAATGTCATTTTGAAATGTTTGCACGTCATTTAGGCTCGAACCTCGTCGGTGTCATGTCAGAGCTTAACTTCTTGACGTTAACCAAGGTGCAGCAGGACATACCTTCCAAAGACACAATGCTACTCCACCTGAAAATACAAAGGTTTCACATGTCATAAATGTGAATTGAATAAAAAGAGCAGATAACACATATGTGCAATAAAAACAAATGAAAGGTGAACATCGGGAGCGGTGGTCTAGTGGTTAAGTCTGCCTCTCAACCACTTGATCATAAGTTCGAGGCTTAATCGGGTCACAACAATGTTTCTTCATATGACACAAGTACTGTTTGGTTATAGGAAGCGGACTCGAAAGTTATTCATATATGTTTCAAGAACTTGTTGGAGCAATCTAGCTTAAATAAATATGTTTAAACTAACATTGTAAAACTAAGGTTGAGGACTGAAAGCTGCCTGATGACCAGATTATATAACAACACTATGAACCACTGATGTACGTTTTTAAATACTAGTTAAATAACAAGAGCGAACTTGGCATTAATTTAATCTCATGTTGTTTGACTTCCACTATCATTATGATTATTCCCAATTTCCTACTTTCAAATTAGATACATTCGGTCAGAGTTTAGAAAAAAACGATAAAAGGTAGTGATGACATTCACTTTGTTAGACAATATCATAATAACAAATAGTATAGAAATAGTGATTCAGTGCACATACCAGAACTTTAAACGTATATGCTGAAAGGGTTTTGTGATTTTCCATCTCAAATAATTGTATGGTGGAATTAATTGAAATTACACAAACTGTGAAACTTGTTAAAGTGACATTATGCCCATCAAAGGGTATATAGTGGATGAGCACGTGACATTCAAAACTTAACATTTTGCCATAGTTTCTTTCAATTCTATAATTTACTTTGCGCGAACAATTAATATCTCACGTGGACCAAACAGAAGTTCCGTAATTATCCATCGGAACTTACTTGTAACGTTTGATATTTTTTAGGCAGATTTATACTTTATCCTAAACATTTTCCGTTATCAACAGTTGGCCAATCAGCATTTTAACAGTCAATCTTTAATTCAGTTGAACTTGACAATGAACAAATAGGGATATTGTCACTTTAAACATATATTGAAAACGTATCTTCTGCTACAAACTACGATGCACAATGCTTTAGTCCCGATACAATGCTACTATTATAACAGAATTAAATTAAAGTTCACTATGTGTTTAAGCTTACATTTATTTCTTGTATGGAAGTTTTGTTTTACATGTTTTGCTAATTAAAGCTTTTTATAAATGTCTTGGGGCGTTTCAGCAGCGTCTGAACTGGCATCTGCCTTAACGCTTTTTGTATCTCAGTCCGTTTTAAATGCAATATATGAAAGAACTGAAATTTATTGCATAAACAAATCTGTAACAACATATTATATGATGGAAAACAAATGCGTTTGAAAATAAATTGCATCATATATAGGTTTGCTTCATGTATAATATAAATGTCACCGTGTTAAACGATGCGTCATAAATGGTATTTCACAATTAATCGAATTATTTTCCTATACAACATTTGCATACTAGTATAAACATATAAGGACATATTTTACAAATGATTACGACGTAAAATGTCATGTCATTACGAAGAACAAGATTAAGTTAGGTGAATGTCTATATTTGTAGTGAATGAAAACTGTAACATAACCCTAAAGAAGCAGTAGAACATTTGAAAGAAAACTTTAAATGGTCCTAATATAATAAAGCAATTGTGTTGCCACCACTGTGCAATCATTTAGGAAATCGTTGACACTTATATCTAAGTATTTTATGTAAAAAGCTTTGATAAGCGCACTTTCTACGACAGAACATCTCTCAAAGGTATATTAGATACGTTTTACTTAGATCCTACATGTTTATCAAAGGAAATGTGTTAAATATCTATGGAAATTCAAACTAAATTATTTATACGAATATACTCAAGAGCATTGACAAATGGTTATAAGTGATTTAGTTCCCGAAATGTGCAGGTTATTACATTATATCTACTAAATTGGAAACTCCCTTGAGGATAATGAAAAGCTTATTTATTTTAACAGTTAACATGGTGCAATGACTTTGTCCATACGTTTAAACTGAAAGCAATTGCTTTGCAATTCCAAAACAACATATAATATGATGGTAAACACAAGCGTTTCATCTTTTATAGGCTTGCTGCATGTATAATTTAAATGTCATGGTGTCCATCGGTGCGATATAAATGGTATTTCACAATGTATCGAATGCTTTTCTCATCCTTTGACTTATTAGCAATACATTCGCATACTATTTTAAACATATATGGAAATTCTTACACATGATATGGGCGTAAAGGGTCATGACGTTTCGAAGAACAATATTTATATAGGTGAATGTCTATATTTGTAGGGAATAAAACATTTTAAGTCACGGATAATAAAGAGTAGAACCAGTAGAACATTTGAAAGAAAAACTTTAAATGATTTTAATATAATAAAGCAAATGTGTTGCCACTGTGCAGCCCTTTAGAAATCATTGACACTTATATCCTAGTATTTTTTATGTAAAAAGCTTTGATAAGCGCACTTTCTAAGATGAAACATCTCTCAGAGGTATAGAAGATACGTTTTACTCTTATCTTAAATCAAAGGAAATGTGTTAAATATACAAAGAAATTCAAACTAATATATTTATACGATTTTACTCAAGACAAATGGTTATAAGTGATTTAGTTCTCTAAATTTGCAGGCTATTAAATTATATCGACTAAATTGAAAACTCCCTGGGCGAAAAGAAAAGCTTATTTATTTTAACAGTTAACATGGCGCAATGACTTTGTCTATACGTTCGCTCAATATAGTAGCGTAACTATCAGCTCAAAATGCAATTAGGTAATTATTTATAAGAAAACTCATAAAGAATAGGACACGTAGAAATACCATTAAAAATGTTTATAAATAAAAATTTGAGTTTTTAAATTTACAGTTTGTTTACAACTTGTAAACATTTACTGATGAACAACCGGAAACCTGTGATTAATGGCTATAGAATTATCAATTTTGATATGATACCATAACTAAATGATAACTCAACGGCACTTTTCTGTGACGTTAAGACATAAAGAATAATAACTTAAAAGGTCATGTATGTGTCAACTTGAAATTGGCATAGTTAAGTGAACTAGATTAAATTAAACTAAATTAATAACGTAGATAAAGTACAACTACCTCCGCGCGTCTGTGTTCGAAATGGTCGAAATCTCTTTTGTGGCATAACGCGCATCAGTCCTGTAGCATCATTTGTGGGAACAAAAGGTTTACCCATTTCTTCTTGTTTATTTCTTTCTTCTATTTCAATCATGTCCTTAAGCTCTTTGAGAAGCTGCAACCTCTGCAAAACAAGAATAGATGAGTATATTAAACATCTTAGGTGAACAAAAATAATTTTTTATAATCATGCAATAAAATAAAATAAATATGTAATACAAAAAAAATCAATTCACTTTTCCAGTGTTTACAGTTTTATTTGAATGGGTTGACTGGTTATCCAACCGCTACACTTTGATACAGTTACTGGTTTATTTGGTTTACACAAAAGTACAAATGTTTTTATATCATTTGACCTAGAAGTTAACATGAAGGACTTATTGTCACTGCTAAAAACGGGAAACCTTCGAATGCTTGATTTCATTTAAATTAGAATTTATTATTTGTTCACTTCACGTTAATTAACGTACAAAATGGTGGGAGTCCCATATGCGGGTGCATCGTGATGCTTTAGATTAATTGTCTAAATTTAATTTAGCGTTTCAATACCTAATTTTTAAATAATCTTGCATAGGGATTCGAAACTAAGGAACATATTAAAACATAAGGGTGTCTTTTGATTAAACAAAATCAAATAGTTCACATATGACAGAAAATGTACATTAGTGACTTACAATGAAATCAATCGACAGTTAAACCACTTTGTTTTCATTTCCATTTTATAACCGGTTATTGACATAATCATACTTATATGTACTAAGCTGTAACTAGCATTCTTATTCATTTTATAATCATAACAGGTAAATAAAATAATGTAATTTAACATGTCTATTTTGTTCAATTAGGCCTTGCTAGAAAAGATGTTTACATAAATAATAATACTAAAAATCTTGACTTAGAGAAGGTAACATAAAGAGTTTTAACAATAAGAAAACATGTATTCTTATTTTCAGTACGGCCTTCTAATTTAACGATAACAAAGGAAAACAAATACTTGTAGATCTATACAAAATTTGAAATAATTTTGAAAAAAAAACCCAACCGAAATATCCTTTAATGTAAAGATATTTTTATTCATTCATCCGACTAACTTTCATATCAATCATAGTGATTATAGATAAACAACTCAAAATAATTTAAAAAGTGACAATATCAACATTTATAGAAAATAATTTTAACAGCTGTTTTTGAAAGACTGAATGTCAAAGATTGCTTCATAGGTATAGATAATTTGTTTCAAACATCAATACTGGAATAAGAAAAAATATCTTTTAACCATATGATTCATGGTTTTCATAAGAAAACTCTTATGTGCGATTAAGCGTAAATTATATAATTCATTGTGAGAGAAACTAAAAGCGAGTACGGCGCATTTAGTTCAGTAAAACACAATGTCAGGTTTCCAAACATCAAAACTCAAATGAGAAAGGAAACCCTTTAACCATATGATTTATGGTTTTCAAAACAAGACACTTATGAGCGATTTAGCGTAAAATATGTAATTAATTGTGAGAGAAACTAAAAGCGAGTACGGCGCCTTCAGTTCAGTAAAACACAATGTCAGGTTCGCATTTAACATAATAATTTGTATCATTTGTTTAAATGGGACAGTCAGTATTTACCTGTGGATTTATTAGTTCGGAATCATCTGTTTGGTAATATGTGTCTAATGGGGCAGCTAAACAGGCACTGAGTAACGTTAGAGATAGTATAAGCAGGGAAACAACTTCACAACAAACTTTGGTGGTTACTTTCATCTTTGAATCTGTCTTCTTAACAACTACCTGAAACAGTATAAAATTGCAAATTAGTACAAGGAAATATCATCTTCCTCAGAATATTGTTTGCCTAGTTAGAAATTAACTGAAATGGCACAACCACTACATAATTAATTATTGCAAACATAATGTAGTAGAATCAGAATTTCGTGTAAAGGTGATGAAAATACAAATAAATATACGTTAATATTTGTCTCTATTGAAAGGAAAACGTAATCGTACACATTCTGATGAATTAAAATGCTCGAAAGACATTTTTAAAATAAAATAATTTCATTATGCGTGTGTTTTTTAAAAAGTATGTTGTTTTTTCACTTTGTTAAAGCGTGCATTATCTAAAATGTATGTCTACGTCAAAAGTTCTAAAAAGGATATTAAAATACTATTAAATCAATATCGCCTTGATGCAATTTACTACTGAAATTATAAAATACTTTCTTTGACATTAAAGTGTTTCGACAAAAGTGTAGATTAAAAATAGAAACACAAAAAGAAAGAAGCATACTGAACATTCGTGTTCTTCAATTCCAACCACATTAACAGACCCTATATATCGTCTGCTTTCCAGAAATAAGTTTGATTATGCAATTATACATATCATTGATTACTGATTCATACTCATCAACAACGAGGAAATACAAAGCTACAATTATGTGTTGTCTGACTTTTATTGGTATTAAACGCACTAATTACAACATTGATACAAACTGCCTTATATTTAACAAACAAATAAAAACAATTTTGACTTCCAACAGCGCAGTTGTTTACTCTTCAATTGATTTTATACGTGAAATTGTTAGTTAAATATGATTCATTAATGTCAGAACACCGAACGTTACATTATAATTATAAAGGATTTTGAATGAGCGATGGTTCATTTCCTTGAATAAAATCATAATTATTATGCTAGCTACCTGAATATTATATTAGATTTATCACATACCCACAATAAGGACTGCATACGGGTTTATACAGAAGTGCTCATAGCGTTACCGTATCATTTATATTATACTGTGAAAGGTGATAAAAATTCAAGATTATTAGATTTAATTTATACACGATTTATACCTACATATAACTTGATGTTATTATACTTCTACAGTGGATACAATGATTTATAGTCACAATCGGTTTTCTTTAAACTGACATTATTCTAATCCAAGTTGAATGATAAAAGTTAAAATAACTTTACATTTTGCCATCAGTAGCGTAAATTTAATATTATACTTTGCAAAAAAGAACAATCCACGTGTCCCATGGACATTTCTAAAAATATCATTCAGAATTTATCAGAAACGTTCATATTTTATAAAAAACATAGAATTGGACAGACCTTTTATAAGTTTTGTTTAAACTTTAATCTTAACGTTTTTCATTATAGATTATTAGTCAATCACCATTATAACAATCTTTATAAAATACATAACTTATTGAGCAAAATGTCATTTAATATAACTGAATCTTGATCCTTACCTAAAACATGTTATTGTTAAGTTTTTAAGGTAGGACAATGATTTATATACCTTATGTAAATGTGTTATTTTATTCAATTATTTATAAACCATTTTATTGCATTTTAGTTTATGTAATTTAAAGCTGATGAGTATTATATATTTAAATAAGTTTTACGAATTTACAAAGTTTTATGGGACATAAACAATAACAGAAATGTTTATGAACAGTAGTGACCAATAAACAGTAACAGAGCAAAGCAACACACATTTTATGAACATAAATAAGTTTTATCCAAACCTATATTAATGTATAGTTATATGAAAGATATACCGGAATAAAGACAGTCTGAAGTTTTATTGCAATATAAAACGATAAATCGATGTAAAATTTAATATATATATTTTATACAAAAGCCATGTCGTTTGTTAGGTACTCAAGTTGCAAAATCCTTTATTCTTCTTCCGCTCCGTGTAAGTTGTGCATTAAATTAACGGCTGATTATTTGCGAATATTCCCTTTCAACATATTTTGTAATCATTGTCAACTATAGCATTAGATTATTTATTATTTACATACAAAAACTCTTCATAGGATATAGGTTCTTTAACATAAACGTCATTGAATTAATATTTTAAATATTTTCATTTAGAATTGTTTGAATGGCCTTTTTCTCATTGTAGATCACAGAACATATCATAACAAAACATTCCTGATGACGTTAATAGTAACTGTAAAAATCATCATAAATAAATAAACGTGTCGAATATATAATGCAGCAATATGATTGGTGTTATATTATTTTAAAAAGAACAGATAATATATTGCAGCACATGACATTTAACTTGATAGTAAAACAATACGAAAACGACAGTATTGTGCTACCGATGCGTTTGTTCCGCTTCGTGTGATAACTAAGCTGTCTGTAATGCTTAGAGAGAAAAAAGGATGTTTGGTACGCCCTCTAGGATCATTTACAACAATACTAATGGAAAGTTTATTATGTTCATTAAAACGCGTGGTACATTCATTCTAAACAATTCGAGTACGCCATCGAATAAATCTTATCAATAATTCAATTTACAAATGTTGTTAGGTCATTTTCTCATTGTTTTGAAACTTCAAAGAACGTGTTGATAAATACATTTTTATCAGTCATCTTCTCAAACTTATAAAATGTGATTTATGTTCGTTTGACGTTTTGTTTTAAAATTTCGACCCGAGAAAGTAATGGTTTTACTACATGAACATCTTTCATTCCAAAACTATGAAGCGCGGCAATTTTCATGTCTCTAATAGCAGATATTTTCCAATATTTATGTCATAATCACAGTCTCTTCATTATAGTACGTTTTAGTTTTTTTAATTGGCTTATTGTGATTTGCATAGTCTAATATTAATATTATACTGTATGTTTTGTGTAGAGATTTTTTTTCTTATTTTTAATACAATTCAGTCCAATTTAAGAAAGAAAGTAAACTATAAGTAATTAAAAACAGTTAATGTGATTTACTTTAATTTTAATGATTTAATAGGTATATATATTACTCTGTAAAATGTTAATACAAAGGAGTAAAAAAGTTAACCATTGTGCTGTATATTGATGACCCGACCTTTTGGTCCACTTGTGACTGACTGGTTTTCTTTAAGGGTTGAGTCAAGTAAGAGGCGACTAAATAGCTCCAGCAGGTGAGGTGGTTTGACCCCTGGTGTTGCTTAATGTTTGTAACATCCCAAGTTAGCCAAAATTATATAATCTGTTTGGGCGCCACCCAAATTGTAAATTGTGTTTATGCGCCGTAAAACAAAACAAGCATACCTGATCGAGATGATTGGCACACGTTTTTAAAATATAATTGGATTGCGTTATTTATTGCCCTAATTTTTGTTTTAAAAATGTTAAATGATATTTTGGATTTTTCATATAAAAGTAAAGATAGGTTTAACCTGATTATATTGTATTATAATGTTGAAACAAATTAATAAAGATATTTTGAAACAACAGTTTACTGTAACTATTTGTGAAAATCCATTTTATATTTTTTATAACTGGCTTTAATGGCGTTCCTGGGCAACCGTTTTAGTATCTAGAATTTACAAATTGTTTTGGGACATACGTAAAACTAAGACAATTAAGAAGTGAATTCAAACAAGTTATTTTAATTGCTTTTAAAATATAATTATATTGATATAGATGAATTAAAACTTATCAGATGCTCATAGGTTCCATACAGTTATTATAGATGGCGACAGTCAAAATATATTGAAGTCATCCTTGAGCAATTCAAAATGGATGATTCGTATGTTTTGCCAATTACCGTTAAAGGAATTAAGGGATAGGCAAAGCAAAGTCGAATATTACGTTGAAATGAATTTGTAGTAATTTACTAGTTTATATAACGTTAATCCGTTCAAAATATATGCACGAGATAAACATCAAATAAGCACAAAATTCATATATGTAACAAAATTGTGACATAAAGATAATCGTAGAACGTTTTCTTAAATTATTTATCAGTAGACTATTCTGAACAAGTACAAACAAATTGTACAGCAGCAAGAAGTTAATAGTGAAAAAAAGAAAGATGTCTTCAATGATACTGATGTTACACTATTTAGAGAAAAGTAACAAGAATGAAGATAAATATTTTTCGCTAGGTGCTGATGTATATAAATATTTTTCGCATATCATTTTCAAACATCATTATCAAAAGATCTGATTATTCATGAAAATTGACACATTTGCTTTACTGCAGTAGTAGTTTTATTTTGGAGAAGCTAGACAGAATGATCATTCACAATGAATCCTTTAATACAAACTAAATAAACGCCATTAACTTAAGCTCTTTGTCTGCACTATTTATACTTTGTTGATTTTGCAATGTAAGCGCTGATGAAGCATCAAATTTATACGAAAGTAATTTTCCAATGTCATGTTGGCAATAAATTGTTCAGATTTGGAATTGCTCAGGTATTTGATTGCCTTATTAAACGTTAAATGTATAAATACCTTATACAAATCAATTTGAGAACTTTTCGCTTAGTAAATTGTTTAACAACACAACGTTCAATGACGACTAATAAAAGGCATGAATATCAAAACATTTAATATACGATTCTGATAATCATTCACAGGTAAAAACTGTGCTGCGTTACATTTCTGTGACAACACTACTGTAGTGCTAATCGAAGCCAGTATTTAAGTTTATTTAATATGTCATTTTATGATACGTTTTGATTGAGAGTGTTGAAAATGTGAACGATATCAACGCAACATAACATTTTTTTTGATTTCTCCCGCATGATGGGCTAAAGCTTACTTAATTTATGGTGACTTTTTTTAAATACATGCACCAGCTCTGAATTCAAATCTGATAAATATTTTACCAACACTTGCTCTAACATATATAATTCTTTTAACCTTTTAATACGAGTTAGGAATTCAAAGATGTAAAAGTGACAGCTGATAAATATGATCAAAGTACCAAGTTAACAATAGACTTAGCAGTTCAATCTAGATTGGATTACTCTTAAACCACATTTTGCCGACTGTCTGATCTCTGAAATGTATTGTGTAAAAATTGATTCCCACATTTTGATACGTACAATAAAGCTGTGATCTTTGTCTTCACTAAATGGTTATCTTCAAATGAATTATTTTATTCAGTGTGTAGGTAGATTATTTACTTAAAAGGGAAAATGTCCGCACAGTTAAAGGTCAACTGTGTTTATCAGTAGGAGCAGCAATTAGAAATGGCCATCCCATGGGATGAAGCTGTTCAATGGAATTATGCCGGTATAGATTTTAGGTTTAATGTAAATCAATTAAATATATTACAGGTACTTCCTTAAAGGCATTTCCAATTAATTGATATCACATCAAAAGCTTGCGTTTAATTACTATTAATTTATATTATATATGAAAAGCAAAATTTATAAACACTAGATCATTCGTTTAAAAAAATACCTTAATTATATTTCAATATTCTATTTGAAAAAGAATTCATTTCATTTCTGTATTTTTATTAGAAATGATGCAAATGACTGTAAAAACATTGGTAAATAAATATATTGCTTTAAAAAAAATATAATAGGCTTAAAAGGTAATTTCTATACTTTATATATACAAATGTACATTGTTTCTCCTTGTTTGCTTAGGACTGTTGTATTTTAAATATTAAACGGTAAAATATTGTAAACAAAACGTTTTAAAACATTTTACAATGTATGACTAAAATACCAGAATATTTGTATCATAAACTGTACGTTGAATAACTTTGTACATGGTGTGATTACAGATATTTTTTTATAATAAACGTTAATGTTTTAGTGTTATTAATTTATCATTTAGTAATTTTACACTATCTTTATGTCTTTTTTTGAGGTAAGGTAAGTTGTTGTTGCTTTAATAAATAAATATAAAACAAATGATAATATTTTATCATCATAAATGATCATTAGATGATATTTATAAGATTGAAAAACTTAAAATTAAAAATACTTAAAATGCAATAAAATCCGTACGAAATGCATCTATTCCTTATTAAACAAACCCCGGCGAAACAAAATTCATAAATCTTCATTGCAGTGTTTCAAATATTCCACTTTAAACATTTAATTAAGATCCACCCCTTGCCTTAATCCTTTTAACGAAGCCTATATTCTCGTTCTAATCCTTTGATGTCTTGTTTTAATCAAATAAATGAAACAAACATGCTGTTTTAACTCCTGTGAAAATCCACGAGACACTCGTGCAACGAAACATGTATTGAATTGTTCTTCATTGAAGTTTCAGTATTAAGTCTAAAATTTACTCTCTTATTCGTATTTAGTTTATTGAAAAAATATATAAACCGAAGTTTCGTCATTTGTAAGATTTTTTCCTTTAATAGATTGGATTGTTTTATTTATAATGATATGTTATATTCTGATTACATTTTTAAAATAGCTTTTGATATAATAGTTTAATCTAAATCAGTCATTTCACTAATACATCCATGATAAATAATGTTAGTTTATTGTAAAACTCCCTGATCATATTTAAAGTATAATAAAATTAGTCTGCTTATACAACAGGCTGCATGCAATATCCATTTAATATTGCCTTTTTTAGAATTTAATGTCCATTATCAGCGTTCACGTTAAAAGCTACCAGATTTTATCTTGATAACAGTAAATTTATGGAAACGTTCTAAAATCAAATGCACGTTGAAAGTTTTTAATTGACATCGCGGTCTTTTTTTGTAATAAAAAAAAAATCAAAAATTCCATACTCACCGTTCACGAGTTTATTTTCTACGTAGATAATTTGTAGGTAACATTTATTCCTAGTGATTTCAAAAATATATACTTATTGTTTCAACCTTTAGTCGTAAAGTTTATCGATAATTTGAAAACCACTGTGATCGTCGACTGCTATGTTATATAAGTAATAAAGAATGTATGCCTTTTTTAACAAATATTCACAACACTTCAGTCATATGTTTATAATCGTCAATACAAATTAAACGTTAAAAATTTGTAGCGGTTTCAACATTTTTTTAATAATTTATTTTAATATTCTAAATTTAATAAAATATGTTATCAAAGTATGGTTAAAACATATTAGTTTCTTTTTTTGTCTTTAAACGCAATATAATAAAACTTTTACCTGAGTGAATCTTTATGAATCCAATGACCACTTTGTTACATCAACTGATTTCCACAGATCCACTCACATTTATTTTATACCCATTGTCAATTATCAATACGTCGACAGGAAAGCGGGTAATTCCGGTAATTAGCAACCGATATATTTGTGGAACCAATTGTAAAATGTCACCTTTCACTTGATCACGCTTGCGTGCGTACTTATCAAAATCATTAATTGGTGAATTGTTCGAAATCGCACCTGTGAACAGCGCCAAATTTATTATTCGGATAACAATCTAGCAATTTTCGCGGTAATTTTAAACTACGTATTTCCCTCAGTAGCAATGAACACTGCCGTCATTGGATTTCACTTTTATCCTATAAAGCTGGAGCCGAGCTAAAGATTTAATAGCGTGTCAATCGGAAAAAGATACGTTCTGTTGACGTAGGAAGTACCCATCTTAAGGATATATGAGTGGTACCAAAATGTCGGCCGGCAATCCCATGCTTATAATAAGTCAGTCACTTGTTAACAAGACACCCAAAGGATTTCAGAAAAGATGAAAATTTTGTGTTTGTGAGTTTACAGATGAAATTTATATCTTTAAATCACAGTAACTTGTGGCATGTAACTAGAATTAATTTTTATCAAATATATTTATCGTTAGTTCACACTTTCGAAGCTTGGGTAAAAACAATTGGTCTTGAAATCCCATACACCTTACCACCATACTTTTCCTTATGAAGATGAGCTAAATATTAACTTTTTAATATTATTATTATTATTATTATTGGTAAGCAGTTAATAAGTTATCATTTATCACATAAACAACGGTGCAGGAGTATAATAAAGCCATTAAAGAACAATAATTTAACGTGAGGGTAATAATGATAATAATAATAATATTTATAATAATAATGATAATAATAATAATTGCGTTGCATAAAAGCGCACTATTTGGAGAATTACACTATAAATACGTCAATGAAACCTGACTCAATAGACAATTTAACTGTTAACCGTTCTTTTTCTTGACATGTGATTAACAGATTATTTTTTTCCAGTAGTTTAAATACTACATTTAATGAACTTGTTGAATAAAATAATATTATACTCGCCAGAGGCCCGCTTTTTATGCTACTAAATGAATAAATTTAGTATTAAATCTACACTCATTTACACTCTATTAAGTATTACACTCATTTACAGTCTATTTATTCAGCCCTGTGTTTCCGATAGGGTTAAATTGGTGACATGTACGATGATAATATTATGCTTATTTCATTCAAATATGGAAAAAATAGAAATACAAATAGTTACTGTTCATGTTTGTCTAACATAAATAAAATTGACACTTGCTTGTTGTCTAGTTGATTAAGGGGGCGTGAGGGATTTGGCGCTTTTACATTGTCCCTCGTGTACATACTCAGTCAAGCCGAGTCTGCAATCGTCATGTAATTTTGTTGTTTTAATGCTTCTGGGTGATTAATCTTATTCCAGATTTTAATACCTTCGGTCTAATACTAAGTCATATATCATGTGTCAAGGATATAGAAAAAATATAATGGGTCTAAAGGTAAAATAGAAATTTAATACTCGGGATGTGATGTAAGCTCTATAAGTGGTATAGGTTACATACACAAACAAATACACATACACAAAAAAGGTCAAAACCTTCATATTGCAAGATATATGTGCTGTTTCATTTTAACTGCCTTGGTAGAGCAAAACAAATATAATTATCTAAGTAGATCTTCCTGAAGCGTTTGCTCTGTAGATCATTTCTCTTTCTCATTTATGCGTTTGATTGTGTTTTTTTGAAAATCACGAGCCACATTAAATAAGGAAGTAATTTGTAATTTCATTACACAATGTACTTTGCATAGTTTGCAAAAACTTGAATTGTTCTACACCGTTTCCACAGAAACAAACCCTTAATAAATAAAAAAGGACATTTAAATGCCAGGAATATCGGTAAAATATAATCTTCACAGCAATTATACAGTCCACAGAGAAATGTGGCAAACGTGTTTCTGATAGAGACACTCTTTATATCATCAATATATTACCAATGGAAATAGATTGCAGTAATTTTCAAAAAAAAATAAAATATTTTGTTCCAGTTTTCTTATTACAAATAATTACACTTTTATTTGTACGTTTATATTTGAAAATGTTATTGCAGAACAGAAGGAGGACGAATAGAAGAAATAAAACAAAATGTTTTAAATTTATCATGTCGTTGAATTTTAAGTACAAATCTAATGCACAATTATACGTTTAAATATCTTACTTTAGTAATTTCTTCATGTATTGCATTAATTTTGGTCTTTAAGTTTTTTGGAATCGTAACAATATGTTTAGAATCGAAAAACCTCTATCAACATGTTAGAAGTGATAATGTTAGAAAAGTCTATTTCAGAATAGTACAAAACGATCATTTTAAATGTCACTTATTGCTTTAAAAGGTAAATAAAGTTTTTATAAATAATAATGCATATGTAATTTAATGGAGAATAACATCAATAGATAAATCGCGCTTTTGAATTAATAAATAAATTAATTATTTTTTTATTATTCATTTTTATCCTTTTTTGCAATGTTTAATTACCTTTTTTTCATATTCAAAAATTGATATCATTCAAAACCTTTGGAAGGATCATAAGTGTATATTAATTGGTGACCCTGTAGTTGATAATTGGAAAAATATTAAACAATTTATTACATATCAGTAATCATGTGTCGTGGTAACATATACGGCGGGATTATCTCTCTGAAGGGGAAACATTGTTAAAAATATACAGGTATAAAAAAACCGGCGCAAGCATTGTTCATTCTTTAATACTAGATGCAGTGATATCATATTTCTAACGTGAGAAAAGACAAAAAAAAGAGATGGAGAGAATAAAATGGAAAGCAACCTTACACAGATGTCACATATGAGGGACGCTATTTACCAGCCTAGACTTATTGTAAAGTAATAGTTTACTAGTTATAAATAATATACTTATGTACTTTTAGTAATATATGTATCTTATCTTACACATTTAATTTCAACACGTTTAGAGATTTACAGGTAAGGTATGAAAATATTAACCTTAACGAGGTATGATCCAAAATAACGTAAATTACTTTTGCTATTAAACTTTTTTAACATACGCTATCGTTCACAATTTAACGTTAATATGAATTTGAAGTATGTTCAGCATGAGTATGCTTACAGAATATTAGTAAAAACAATAACATATAAAACAGATGTATATGCATTTGAAATGGTTAATTCATATAGTGTTTTAAAGCGGATGGACATGCTTTACGTAACATCCCTCGATGTCGTCCATGTCTAGAGTACTGCTATGTTACAATCCGCAACATTTAATTAATGACAAATTAATTATGTATATTAATATAATAATTACAAGTCATTTAAGGAAAATTATATTCTCAGCAATGCATTTGGGGGTATAAACCGACAGTCAGGTTCCAGACATATTAATCAGTTATCATGACTTCTTTGTCTTCAAGTGTAAAACAATGAAATAATTATTATATGATTTGTTTATTGTCATAAATTTACCAGTCTGTTCAGAAAAAAAAACTATAACAACTTTCAGCAACAATATATAAGTTAACATGTTCATCAGATAAAATCTTCATGCAAACTGTTTATTTCTTAGATACTTGCCCTTACTGCAAATGGTATTAATCTATGATATCTCAAACTAATATAATGTCTCTTGTATAATAATGAGCATGCGTCCGAAGTGTTGCAATTATGACAAAATTGTGACTGTATAATTTAACAAAACATTTTTCAATTGCCTTTGCTTTAAAAAAAATAAGTTGTTTACATTTTTTAAGACTGCCAAAACGTAAAATTTCAAGTGCAATGCCTATCACACAAACGATTCTTGTAACCATCATTCCATTTGACAATAGAAATGTTCATAGAACTGATCATGTTTATAGTGTGAGCATATATTACGGTAGAAAAGGAATAGACGTGATAATGCTGGTCTCTTAGATGACAAATTTGGTATTGTGGGTAAAATAATAAAATCAAGAGATTTTTTTTACTTTAAACAATCCTTTTGTTAACGATTTATTCTTTATTGTATCAATTTTCCATCGCTTATGTCGTTTTCTTTGTAAGCATCTGCCACTTATATTTTGTCAAAATTATCCCGATGGAGAAATCATACTTATTCGTTTATTATAGAAATCTGCATATTAAACATTTTTGGAAATAGAAGATCCTTCGAGACCATTGAAAACAACATTAATTAGTGAACACTGCACTCTTTGATTGATTGAATCTATTGTTGTAAAGAAGCCGCGCCACAAAGGAATTGCATACTAATGTATTGAACAATTAAAGTTATTATCAATAAATCGCAATTTCGATATTTGAACCGATTGTTTTTAAATTTGTATCACGTATGATGATGCACTGAGAAAAATAATAATTTGAATTTGAATTTTATTTTAAAATGTTATCACATAGCATCATATGCTCGTAAACATTGTAAATTTGATTTGATTCGTATCGTAGGTATATACAATTTATGAACTTATAATTGTTATATAGTCAGAGGAAAAAATCTTTATAATATGAAATATTTTCTAGACACATCGACCGTACAGTTTGGAGAAGTTATACTGTTTTAAAAACATGTTTGTTATGGTATATAAAATGAAAATTACACATATTTGGTTAATAGTTTATATATTCCAAATTTCTTAACAGTCAAACGCTATTGACGTAAAAATGATATATGTAGTAATATCAATAATTTAAAATATAAAATAAATAATACCAATTGTCTTTCAGACAAAGAATTCAATTTGACAAATTAAACGTTATATACCTTTAAATTAATCAATTCTTTTGAATTTCGCATTTGTTTCAACAATCATTTTGTGCTGGAAATACAACAACAGTCACAAAAATGTGAATAAACGTTATTTAGCGTTATGAAATTCATTATATAAATAAAATTTGTTACTTTTAACTGTTAAAATTTACAAGATGATTTCTGAATTATTGGTGAGCGGACAAATGACAATACGAAAAACATGTAAATTTTATCACGAACAATTTATCATTCATTTTAAATTTCACAAACAATATAAAGTTAAATGTCAATGTGTTTTTTAAAGAATTAAATTGCGTGCTATATAAGACAGAATTCTTGTTGTTGTTTTTTTCTTATAAGATTTATGATCGTCTCATCTTACAATAATATCTAAACAGCATAAAACTTTAATCTGTTTACTAGACATTTAAAAAAGTTATCATCCAGAAATGAAGGGACAGTATGTGATTTTTCCTGTCTAAAGATGG